CTCTAAAACAAATGGCATGATCACTTCCTTATAAAAGCTCTTAACTTCATACTAATCTTATTGGAGAACAACTCATGCTCTTATACTCAAACAATAGCAACAGAAGATTCATCTTAGGTTTACAGGTTAGGCCTAGCTCATTTAAGGTGAGCTTAGTGAAGTTATAATGATAATGTGGACATGTACAAGATGATGAAAGACAAGCAGAAGTATTGAGGAACAAATAAGTGTAGGGTATCCAAAGGAACACCCACAAGGGACACTTAGCAGAAGTCATATTATTACAAACATGAATTAGGATGTTATCCTCATAGAATCAGGCTAATAGTGTCACTTCATGAATTTCAGCAGAGGGTAGTGATTATATTAGGGATCTTGTTAGGAAAATCAAGTGTGGGATTTCAGGTATAGTGGAACCTAATTTCAGTACTTTGGCACAACAAATGGAATATCAGAACATGAACACGATTTAACCAAACCTCATAACTTAAGTCAAGTATATGGTAACCTACAGAAAACAAACAAAGATGATACATGAATCTAATCAGCTTAAGACATGCTTACATAGTGTGATCAAACAACCATGAGTTTAATCAGATGACCAATGACCTTCTAAAAGTTAACCGAATCACATAGGCATGCCAGAAAGAAGAGATAGGTTCAATGTCATGAACTGGTGTTCCAAAACTAAGATGACAGTCTCATTTTACCACTAAACAAGTTCACATTTCATTTAAATCTAGGTTATCAAATAAATAACTACAAAATGCAAATAATACCCAAGGCAGATTAGTATAACAATCACGGTAGTTTTAATAGAACATCAGGGGAGATCTGAAGCTAGCCATTAGGATTGTTTGAAAACTCTTTAGTTGTTTCAAAGCATAATAGTAGATATAGGTTATCATATGTTAATTAGGATCAATAAATTGTCCTAATCTCAACAACTTATGATTCCATAATTAATTTATCAACCATATGCCATTAACAAACACATGAAAAAGAAACTGTCAGCCATTAACACATTATCAACAACATCATAATAGAATGAATCATGCTTGGAAATTCGAACAATTTAAGAAGAGTAAAGTTGAGGTTCTACTGACCTCCTTTAGGGCAACAAACCAAACAAATGCCTAATTTAGACATTCTGGAAGCCAAAAAACTCAAACTTTCAATCAGTAAGCAAGCTCAGAACCAGAAAGAAAAAGAGAGAAAAGCAAAAATTGAGTAAGAACTCAGACTTCAATTGAAAATTCCTAAACGATACTATACTGTGTATTAATTTTCTTCAGATGTTAGGTGTAGTTGGTGATTATTAGGTGAGAGAATTGAAGAAACTATTTATAGTGTCATTCAATAACTTAGGGTCTTAACAGATTCAAATTGTGAGAGAAAGATGACGATGAGTTGATGATGAGAGCATAATCGGGTGAAATCAGAAAGAACAGAGGGAAAAAGCAGTATTGAGTTTACTTGAGCATGAAGAAGTCGACCGTTGAAGCCTTTGGACCAGCGGTCAAACCCTAAAGTCTAGAGCTCACTGCGTTTGACCTCTGGACAACGAATAATGATGATGAAGCTGAAGATAATAGCCATGCATGCTCCGACTCGATGGAACAGAGGAAGGATTGATGGATTTTCAGGTTGCATAGTTTAGGTCTAGGGTTTATGATTTAAGATTTAAATTGAATCGATGGAAATGGAATGGAAATCGACGAGATTCGCGGTTAGCAGGGACATGAGGGAAGTTTTAGGGCTTGATTTATGACCTTGCACAAATCTGTGCAATGTTCTAGGACTAATGGGGATGAGAGAAAAGAAAGGGAATTGGGAAATGAGGGCGGCCATTTGGTGGAAATTGATTAGGGTTTAGGGGGGTCGTCTCTGAGTTAAGATTGGGAGATGGAACGGGAGCCGTTGGATCTTTTGATCAACGTCTCCGATTGTTTTGTTAATTAAGCATGTAGAAATGATTTAAATGGGAAAAATCGATGTCCGTTTGATTCTTCTGATCCAACAACAGAGATAAAACACAACAACCCTTTTAGAAATAATAAAAAAAGAGATTAAATTTGATCCGTTGATGATATGGATCAACAACTGAGATGATATGTATTTGTTTTGTGAGGGGATGGGACGGGTGACGTGGCAAGCTCTGATTGGCTTAAAGGGAATGGCAAGGATTGCCAAGGTGGATTGGAGGGGTTGTCTAGACTGGGTCAATTCTGGATTGGGCCTATGTATTGGCTAGTTTTAATTTAAAAAATGGCCAATTTTTGTCTAATTAAAGAATTGCAATAATAGCCTTTTAGCCTCTTTGAAACTAATTTCAATAAACTTTATTATTTTCAATAAAATATAGTAAAAATTATAATTATCAAATATACTACTAATTATTGTAATTATTTATTTGTAAAATTACTAATTTTGAATTATTAACATAGTAGTCTAATTAATTAAAAATTAATGATTAATTCATTAAATAAATTATTAAGTCTATATGATGTATATAAAAGTTATTTTAATAATCTTAAAATAGTAAGCATTACTTATTTATAATTACAATTATAATAATACTAATACTAAATTATTAATTTCAAAACCACTAATGCTTAATTAATTTAGTGATAATAGGTATTATTGATTTTAAATATTTTCAAAACATTCGTTGCAAATTATTAAATTTAAGTAAATTAATTTTAAAGGGTAGGGTCAAAATTGGCCGTTAATTGCTGCTGCTCTTTGATCGGAGACGATAAAAGAGTTTTTGGGCAAAGAAATTGAACCAAGGCAATGATGTCTAGCTGCCGGCTAGCCGTTATTTGGGATTGGGATGATGAGATACTTGAATTTGACTCGATTGTTAGCCAGGCTGTGTACCATTCCATAGCTGTCGGAGCATTAAGTCTCTTCGTGTTGGGAGTTTCTCCGCTTGATGGGAGTATTTGACTTGTAATGTAGAATGCATCTCCGCTTGCTGGGAGAGGTTGCATAGAAGTGTAAAGTATCTCTGCATGATGGAAGTGAGTGCACTGAAATGCAAATTATCTCCACAGAGTTTTTGACTTTGAAAAATGAATGTAATTATGCCTGTAAGCTGCATGAGCAAAACATCAAAACATTCGAGATAAAAATAAAGAAAAAGGAGCATTCCCAAGAGGTACTCTTGGCTGCGAAACTAAATAGCAGCCGTTGATTGGAAGAACATTGGTGGCGAGGTTTGCAGCTATCTATTTTGATCTTCGATGTGGTGGAGTGGTGGTGCGAATTGCTCCTGTTGGCGAAGCGAATAGTTTACTATATACAGGGCTTCGATTGGTGAATCCGCTCGATTTGTACAGGTCGCTCTGATTGATTGAGCTGGCAATTTGCTATATACAGGGCTTCAATTGACGAAGCCAGCGAATCGATTTTTTGGAGGGTGCTCCGATTGATTGAGCTGGAGATTTGCTATATACATAGCTTCAATTGGCAAAGCTAGCAGCTCGATTTTGTACAAGGTGCTCTAATTGATTGAGCAGGCCGTTTGCTATACAATACGCTCCGGTTGGCGGGGCCAATGGCTTGCTATATACAACATGCTCCTCTCAGCTGAGCAGACGGTTTGCTATATAAAATATGCTTCGTCTGCATCAACGGCCTTGTTCCGAAATACTTGCGAAGGTTCTAAGAGTTAGTTTATAGTTATATAGGGAAAACTTTGATTAAGGAAAGAGGGATGATAATTATAAGAGAATGGCTGATTTCCCCAGTGTGTTCCAGTACTTCTTTATGTCTTGCTGACCTTGTATTCAAAGATAAATTCTTAGCAGGGGAGGGTGTTGGTTTATGTCGACCATAGTCCTTGCTTCGCCCCTACCCCGATGAGGTTATTCTATGAAGTCCAGTAGGTGGAACGAATTATGATATATATTATTTTTGAAAGAAATTTGAAATTTTTTGTTTTATGGCAAATTATGACATGTTTCAGAAATGTGAGAATAGTTTCTTGAAGACTCTGTCCTGCGGATGTCGATCCTCCATGATGCTTCTGACGACGTGGCTTATTTCCCCTACGATTGCGTCCTAATATGAACTAATGCATTACAAAGGTTTTCCTAGGGTTATGACATAACCCTTTTAGGTTGCCTACGTATCCGAAACGGAATCAGGTCCAAACATAGTTTGTGGTAATGATAGAGAAAATATGATGAGGATGACCGCCTGACTCAGGAAGCCTACATATCTAAATAGAATTAGGTCAAAATGTAGTTCGATTATATTAGATGCAGAATGATGAGATTTAAAATGAAGTGGCCGAGTTTGACTCAGACTGCCTACATATCCAAATGGAATCAGGCCAGAACGTAGTTCATTTACAAAATATGACTAAATCCGATGAGGATTGCCTACGTATACCTTCCCAAGGAAATCAAGTCGTGGCATAGTTCCGGGTACATACAAAATGATATTTAAATTTTTTGTTACAAAAGAAAGGGGAGAGAGAGAAATCGAACCCTACTCGTGTTGCCTACGTATCCCTCCATGGGAAGTCAAGTCGAGCGTAGCTCTGTTACAGCCGAAACCTAACTCTATTGTCTTCAAACATAATATCTCTTGATTGCATCTGAGTTGATAAGATTCGTGATGAATCTTCCGTCCATCTCTGCCAAGATCAGAGCTTCTCCCGACAACACTTGATGGACCACGTAAGGACCTTGACAATTCAGAGCGAACTTTCCTTCTCGATGGACCACGTAAGGACCTTGACAATTCAGAGCGAACTTTCCTTCTCGATGGACCACGTAAGGACCTTGCCAATTCAGAGCGAACTTTCCTTTGGATTCTTCTTGATGAGGGAATATTTTCTTCAGAACCAACTTCCCCGGTATGAACTAGCGAGGCTTCACCCTTTTGTTGAATACATTGGCCATCTTATTTTGATACAGCTGACCATGGCATACCACATCCATTTTCTTCTCATCGATGAGCATGAGTTGCTCCTGCCTGACCCGTATCTATTCTGCATCGTCTAACTTGGCTTCTTGGATGACTTTTAAAGATGGTATCTCAACCTCTGCGGGTATCACAACTTCGGTGCCATACACCAACATGTATGGCGTTGACCCAGTGGATGTCCTCATGGTGGTCCAATAACCCAGTAAGGCGAAGTATAATTTCTCGTGCCATTGCCTATGATTGTCCATTATCTTTCGCAGAATCCTTTTGATATTTTTGTTGGCCGCCTCAACTGCTCCATTCATTTGCAGTCTGTAGGTTGTAGAGTTATGGTGGACAATTCTGAACTTATTGCAAATTTCCCTCATGAGATCACCGTTGAGATTGACTGCATTGTTAATGATGATTGACTCGGGTATCCCAAATCGGCAAACTATGTTGTTACGGACGAAATCTGCCAATACTTTCTTTATGATGGCCTTGTTTGTAGAAGCTTTAACCCATTTGGTGAAGTAATTAATGGCTACCAAGATGAAACAGTGCCCATTTGATACAACGGGCTCTATAGGTTCAATTACGTCTATGTCCTAAGCGTCAAACGACTAAGGCGAACCCATTACATTCAACTCATTAGGCGGAACCCGGATGAAATCCTTGTGGATCTAGTTATTTCGGCGGTATCTAAATATCTTAATAGACCCAAGTCTGGGGTCCTCCTATATAGGACTTCCCCATTGAGGAAAAAGTGATTTGCCAGCCTTCTAAGTGCTCGCTTCTGACTATTAGTAGCATTCTCTAGATACTCTCTTGTTTAAAGGAATATTTTAATGTCGTAGTACCATGGCTTACTGTCTGGCTCTTCATCTACATGAAAACAATACGCATGTTGATCCCCGGTCTCTATCTCTATAGGGTCGATGTAATTCTTATATGGATGCTGAATCATAGATGACAAGGTTGCGAGAGTGTCGGCAAACTCATTCCGGAACATGGGAATGTGCCTGAACTCGATCTTTGTGAATTTATTGCATAGCTCCATTACACAGTGCATGTATGGAAGGATCTTGACGTTCTTGTAGTCCACTCTCCTTGAACTTGATGTATCAATAGATCCAAATCCCCTATGACTAAAAGCTACTTGATGTTCATGTCGACCTCCATCCTGATTCCGAGGATGCATGCTTCATACTCGACCATATTATTGGTGCAAGGGAACCTTATCTTTACTGACACCGGGTAATGCTGTCCTGATTCCGAAATTAGGACTACCCCAATTCCCACTCCTTTGAAATTTGCTGCTCCATCGAAAAACATTCTCCACCCTGGGTATGAATCTGTGATATCTTCTCTAGCAAACAATACCTTCTCGTCTGGGAAGTATGTAGTGAGCGACATATAATCCTTGTCAACTGGTTTCTATGCAAGGTGGTCGGCTAAGGCTTGCTCTTTGATAGACTTCTGCGTTATGTACACAATGTCAAATTCGCCGAGAAAAATCTTTCATTTGGCTAGTTTTCCTGTAGGCATCGGCTTCTGAAAGATATACTTGAGCTGGTCGAGTCGAGATATTAAATGCATGGTGTATGCTAACATGTAATGCCTTAACTTCTGGGTGATCCAAGTCAAGGCACAACAAGTGCGCTCTATCAGAGTGTATTTGGCCTCGCATGGTGTGAACTTCTTGCTTAAGTAGTAGATGGCCTTCTCCTTTCTTCCGGTCTCATCGTGTTGTTCCAATACGCATCCAAACGCATTATCCAAGACTAGCAGGTATAACAACAGTGGCTTCCTAAGCTCGGGAGGAACCAACACTTATGGATTTAACAAATACTCCTTAATTCTATTGAAGGCTTTCTGACGCTCTTCTGTCCATTTTGTAGCCACATCCTTCTCTTAGCAGCTTGAAGATAGGTTCACAAATTACTGTAGACTGGGCTATGAAACGGCTGATGTAATTCAGTCTACCAAGGAAACTCATCACATCCTTCTTACTCTTGGGTGGTGGCAACTCTTGAATGGCTTTGATCTTTGAAAGATCCCGTTCTATCCCTTTCCTACTTACGATGAAACATAGAAACTATCCAGTAGGGACTCCGAATGCACATTTTGTAGGGTTCAACTTCAAACTATATCTCCGCAAGCATTCGAAAAACTTTTTCAGGTCGTCCAAATATTCTGAACTCTTTCGAGACTTGATGATGACATCATCCACATATACCTCGATCTCTTTGTGAATCATGTCATGAAAGAGGATTGTCATGGCCCTCATGTAAGTGGTGTCGGTGTTTTCGAGGCTGAATGGCATGACTCTGTAGGAGTAGACTCCCTAAGGCGTGCATTAAGATCTTATGTACCCGGTGAAACAATACACGAAAGACTGCAGCTCATGCTTCATGCAATTTTTGATGAGGATATGAATATTTGGTAAAGGGAAATTGCCCTTCGGGCTGGCCTTGTTAAGGTCTCGATAATCCACATATATCTTGATCTTCCCATCCTTCTTGGGTATCGGGATGATGTTTGAAACCCATGTGGGATAATTGGTGACCCTCATTATGTTCCTTATATTTGCTTGGTTGGTTCTTCTTTTATTCTCAAACTCATGTCTGGTTTGAACTTTTTGGGTTTTTGTTTGACTGGCGGACTAGCAGGATCGGTAGACAATCAATGCAAAAACAGTGTCGGTGCTTAACCTTGGCATGTCGGAGGAGCTCGACCAACTCTTCTTTCTGCTCTACTTCTATATGGATGCGGATTCGGGTTTCTTTTACGTCTTCTTCGCTTCCCAGGTTGACCACTTCCGTCTCTTCAAGGTTAGGCTTTTTCTGGCTTTCCAGCTATTCGACCTATTATGGGAGGTTATCTGGCATCATGCTTTCGTCGTAATCTTCGTAATCTGGATCGCTTTGCTCGAGGGTTTCATTATATGTCATAATCGTAGAATGCGGGTTTGTATTACTGCAAAAGAAATTAAGTATAAATGAGGCAATAAATATATTTGCAAAAATTTTAAGAAAGCATTTCTTTTCATTTCATCAAAAGAGGAACGTCTGAGCGTTCAAATAGACGAATGACAAAAAAGTACAGACACGGTTCAAGTCTCAATTGACTGTGCGCTATTTTTAAAAGTTTTACAATTCCACACTACCAAGACTCCCAGCGAACCAAAGACGGGCTACCGATCCAATTCTGCAAGTCCTCTCTTGGTTCGGCATTCCGAATAGTCGGTGTCTTGATATCAACTTTGTCACAACATTCCTCGATCATGGTCACGAACAACCTTCTATCGATGATGTCGTCCTCTTATGTTGAGCTCTAACCCATACCTGAAACATAGTTTGGCACAAAAGCCTTCTTCCCGAAGCTACCGGTACAAGCCTTCCCAGTCAAAGGCTAATACCATATGTCGGTTCTACCTTTCTGCGCACTTGGCTCAATCGGCTCTATGATCCCGTATGATCGGGCTCCTAGTAGGGTTCCTGGTCTGTATCCGTACTTCATCATTTCTCTCATGTCCATCTTTGATCTATATAGTGATTGATTTCTCAGATTTTGAATGAGTCTCTTTTATTTCCGTATTCTGTATGATCTCAACTGCATGGAAAATGACCTTGTCTAATTCCTCTATGAATGGGGCTTCATGTTCTTAGGTAAGCTGATTGGCTCCATTCGCAGTGGATTACAATCTCTTAACAACCCCACTCGAACTTCATGCACTGTTGCAGGGTATATAGAATTTCCCCTGTTATGTGTATCCAAGGTATTTCTAGAAACATATATGAAGATGAAATATCCATCACTAAGAATAGTATGAGAAACTCAACTGGTCCAATTTGGAGAGCCAAATAAATTTATCCAATGACGTCTTTCTGTGACCCCTCGAATGCTCTTACCCTCACATGACTTTCTTTTACTTCTCTCAGATGGATACCCAACTTTCGTAGGGTAGAGAGCGAGCATATATTGACTCCTGATCCTCCATCAACAAGTACTCGAGACACCACCTTATCTCTACATTTTACAGTGATGTGTAATGCTTTGATGTGACCCATGCCCTCTATAAGAAGTTCATCTCTTCGGAAAGTTATCATTTTTGCTTCGACAACTTCCTAATGGTTCCTGCTAGTGCCTCGCTGGTGGTGTTGCTCGGCATGCTCACCCCACTCAACACTTTCTCCAGGGCATCTTTGTGACTGTCAAAACTCATCAGTAAATCCATGATTGACATTTGCGCCAGGGCTTTCTTCAATTATTCCTCCATGGAGTATTCTTTGGTTAACATCTTCTTCCAGAATCTGCGGCCTCCAGATCTGTTATATTCCTTCTATGAATCTGTTCCTTTCCTGAATTTCATTAGTTTACATCCTCAGGAGCATAACACCTCCCTGACCTGGCCATTCCACGAGCTGCTGCAGAATTCGTCATCTTGGTTTTCCCTTTATGTTGATATGTCCATGGGACTGTCTTGTATTCCTGATCTTCTTCATCCCTATTGGCAGTGGTAGACTATTCCTGGTAAGTCTGGACCATCACTGTAGGTTTTAACTATACTGTGATCATTGGAGTCCTTAGAGGTGGGACCCTTGCAGCCTCAGCGTTCCCTATTGTAATGATAGTTCCTTTCAAGTCATACTCCTCATCCAGAGTGATCATATTAGCTCCTTGATTCTGATGGTTTGGCAACGGGTTGCGATTCACATTGGGCAGAGATGGGGTGTATTGGATGGCTCCACTTTTGATTAGTGACTCAATTTCATTTTATAGTTTGAAACAATCCTCGCTATCATGCCCCGATACGTTTGAGTGGTAGATGCACCATTAGATTGCTCAAAGTATTTTGAGGGATACTCAGGAAACTTTCCTTCTATTGGATGTATCAAACCTGCTCTCCGTAGTCTTTCAAACAGTTGAGCCAAAAGTTCAGCAATCGGGGTGTAGTTTCTGGGACCTCTCTCTTCAAACTTTGGGGGAGGTCATGGTGCATACGTGGGTCGGTTTTGATGAGTGGTAGTTTGAACTAGAGCGTATGGTCGTGGTGGGTTTGGATTTGTATGGGCGTGAGGTGGGTTATATTGAGATTGGGGGTTATAGTATGGTTGTGTGTTGTATACTGGAGCATAAGCAGGTAGGTGTGGGGAATGGGTGTTTGGAGAGTAAGAGGTGTTTCCATGGTGTGGATTGGACTGGTAATAGGGAATGATTGCCGATACCTCTTCCTTTTTCTTCTTTCCGCTGCCTATTGAACCAGATTGGATTGCTTTGCTAGCTACTTGCAATACGGCCATTGATTGTACCTTGCCGGACTTTACACCTTACTATAAAAAGTCTCCTATTTTGACATGTTCAGGGAACTTCTGCCCCATCATGCCCATAATTTTATCAAAGTAGATCCCTTCTTGAGCCCTAATGAAATACTTAGTCAACTCACTGTCATCTAATGGGGGTTGTGCTCTGGCTGCCTCTAACCTCCATCGACGTGCATACTATTGGAATGATTTAGACGGTTTCTTCTGCAAGTTTACCAGTATGAACTTATCAGGAGTAATTTCTGTGTAGAACCGGAAGCTATTCATGAAATCCTCTGCCATATCCTGCCATTCATTCTAGTTTCGGGGATTCTGGCGAGTGTACCAAGTAAGTGCTTCCCCTGTCACACTCCTTATGAACAGCTTCATCCTTAACTTCTCATTTATTTCTACTCTAATTAACTTATGACAGTAGGCTCTCAAGTGTAATTGGGGATCACCTGTACCATTAAATAAATCAAACTTCGGAGGCTTGTACCCTACCGGCATGTCCTCATCAGGATAGATACACAGATCCTCATAGTCTAGACTTTCGCTCCCATGAGCGACCTGAAGGTTCTTCATTTGTTTTCTCAATTCTTGTATCACTCAGACACTGATTCCTCCTCCTTATGCTTAGATTCCCTTTCCTTTTCAGAATATTGATCAACTTCATAAGGCAATCTGACCATGACGGGCGCTGTGAAGGTAGGTTCTTGTAATGACCTGACCGGTCGTTATGAGCATTTGCACTTTGCTCGGTAGTTTGAGGGCGTGAGTAGCTCCGTATGATGTATTATGCTTTGTATGAATTGCCGGTTTTGGTTTTCAGGCTATTCGAAATCGATTTGGAAGAATGAATTTCATGATTTAAGCTTTAGGTTGGAAGAGTTGA